AACGGACCAGAGGAGGGTGCCGGCGCGAACCCACTCGGCGGTATCCAGGCCATGCTCACCCAGTTCATGAACGCTCACCAAGCTCAAATGGCGGCTCTACACCAACAGGTGGCGCAGCAGGGACAGATCCTGCAGCAGCAGCAGCAGCAGCAGCAGCAGCAGCTGCAGCTGCAGCCACAACAGCAGCAGCAGCCACAGCAGCAGCAGCAACAACCCGCCGGCGGCATTCTTCCTCCCGCCAACGCACCGGTGGTGGCCGCTAGCGCCGCGCCGCCCGCCCCGGCGACCGCGGGGTCGAAGATGACGGAGAAGCTGAGGGCTGAGGACTGGAAAGCGACGGGCCCCCTGTGGCTCCTCGCGCGGGGCGGATTCGACACTCGCGCCCCGGTCGACGTGCCCTTCGTTAAAATGGTCGCCGGTGAATACTCACACATCACAGAGCAGGGAGGGAAACAGATGTGTAGCCTGACGGACATAAAAATCGAGCACTGTTTCCCGCCCAAGTCCGCCAACGCCGCCCTCGCTGCCATGCCCGTGACGGTCCACTTCGACACCTTCATCACCGTGCTGTTCAAAACGATCGAGTACGGCATGGACACGGCCGAGGAGAATGCCAAGCTTCGCGTCGCGGCCTGGAGGGCGGAGTTCGCATCGATTACAAGGAAGCTGGCTACGCACCTCACCCTCCACTACACAGGCCTTCAGCCCCATGAAAACCGGGTCCGCAACGCCCTCCTGGATGCCATCAACCGCGGCTTGGAAGACGGTTTCCGCATTCTACACAAGATGGCATATGACCTACGCCGGACGCACCAGGACGGCCCCCCCACCGCGGACGCCACGGATGCCGTCCCATTTCCGCGATTCAAGCTCCTTAAGACCTTGCTCGAGGAAGATCACACCCAGAGTCTCGCGGAAAAGGCAGCCCAATGGCCTCTCCCCACCGTGGCCGCCGCCCTCGCCCCCGCCACGAGTGCAAAGCGGAAGAGCGGAACGGCCGGGGCCAAGACAGCGACAACCAAGCGGCAGCGGACCACGACCACGACCCCGACGTGCGCCCCCGGTTTTTGCAAGGGATGGTGG